TTAAGGATGGAAGCAAAAATATAACGGCCCCATAAGTAAACATAAGGTCTGACGTGCACGTTGACATAAATATAACATAATAAAAAATTCACTGGGTGCTACTGGCCATGAGACTCGTTCCATAGGACACCACCCCTATGGACGAACACACATAACTTGTTGGTGTCGTAAGGCCCCACCGGGTAAATAAATCATGTAGTACTACTACACTAATGTGGTTACCCGCGAATTATCTAGGTGAATTGCAAACATTCACATATATAACATACAACATAGAAATGAGATTCCTGTTTCCCTTTCACATAGCAAAATAATCATAACATATAAATAAAACATTTCAAAATAAAACCTTTGATTTTTAAATAACACATTTATTAGTAAGAAATTATTAGTTTTATTATTTTAGGGAAATCCTGAATTTAGGAAAAAGACCACTCACCTCTGCTGATATTGTGTGTGTCCAGACTCAATCCTGTTGGCCTCACTGTCTGGTCGGTTTACTTGTCCTAAAGTGTAACCACATACGCTATCAATAACACGCCAAAATGATGCATGAATGCATGAATATGCTAGTGCATACATGAGATGTACTCCTAATTAGGTTGTTTTCTACCATTTTTATTTGGGGTCAAAGTTTCTACTATATACGTATTCCAAAAATTCTCAAAATATTATTTTATACTCATTGTCAAGTTAAGTATATTAGGGTATGTTCACGTTCATAAAATGAGTTATAGTTATTTTTTTTATGAAAAATAATTCATAAGTGGGTCGGTGAACTTCTAGATTGGAGTTCAGGTAAATTCCAATGTTAACTTTGTATTATTTTTACTAAACTAACTAAATCATTTTCTCAGTAAAATTAATATAACTTAATAATAATAAAAAAATTAATCTAAACTGGTAGAATTTATTCCATAATATCATGAAAACAGTATTTAAATCAAAAATCTAAACCGGTTAAATTAAACTAAAATACATCTAAATTGAAAATATAAAAAAATTAATTAAAAAAAACTTACTTAAAATCTGATTAAAATTCTCTTGCTTTCGTTCGATTCCCAGTGCCGATCCTCTCGCTGCTCTCTCTCTCTCTCTCTCTCTCTCTCATGCTCTTTCTTGTGCTTCTTTTACACGCCCAAAGTTTTATAAAACATTTTAGGCGGTCCACTTAGCGGCTAAACAAAAGTATATAATATTATTATATTATTATCACTATTTAAAACCGCGTGAAATAAAACGGTGGAGGATATGTACATATATATTTTATTATTTTATTACTATTATCTTTATTATTTTATTATGTTATTACTATTACTCTTATTATTTTATTATTAATTCACTATTATTATAATTATTTTATTGTTAATTCACTATTACTACAATTATGATGCACTCCATGCGGCTTCACCTGAAAGCTTGGGGGTGGAAGATTAATATATTATTATTATTATTATTATTTTATTTTATGTTTTTTTTTTCCACCTTCAAGAATTTGCAAAATTACTCTTTTGGCCCTTAAATATTAAGAAGTTTTTAAACTTAAGCCACTAATCATCCCACTAAATATGTTTATGCAAAATAAAATACAAAGTATATGATGAGGGTTTTGGGTTGGGATGTTACAAATCTTGTTTCAAATCTATAAAATGAATTTATATTGCTTTTCACTATTTTTGAAGCAAATGTTGGCACTCTCGTGAAGGAAAAAAAAAATTAAGGTACTTCTTTTTTAAAGATATTTTAGACAACAAATAGAATAAGAAATTAGTGTTTGTTTAAATTTTAATTATAACAGTTAAAATTTTGAAAAGCTTCATATCATGGAATTTTAGAAATTTATTGATTTGTTTGCAAAAGCATCTTATCTTAAACAACAACAGATGAAAAATAATAATAATTAAAAAAGTGTCGAAAGTATTGTCACGATCCGGAAAGTCGGATCCGTGACTGGCGCTAGGGTTAGGATAGTCTCAACCCCGCAAGTCTCAAATACTCAGAACTATAATAAAACAAAATAACTTAGCTTGATACAATGCCCACAGTTTGATACAAACTTCCGAAAATCAAATGCAATCATCATATGAAAATCCTCTAAACTCAATTTAGGTCTGTGATTACTAAACGAACTAAAAACAAATTATTGCATCAAACAGAAGCAAAGTCTATCTATTATACTCAGAAATCAATTCCGTTGGAATCATGGAATCTGGATCGACAACACTTCTCACGTAGCAGATTAGTCAGAAGCACAGAACCTAAGTTTGGAAAAAATTAAGGGGTGAGTCTGACGACCTAGTAAATAGTAATATATATTTACATGACAAGGGGCATATATCAATTACTTTAATCATGAAAGATAATCTTTTTATGTCCTAAGCTTATAATGTTTGAAATAAAATTACACTTAGTCAGTTATTAACAGAATTCAGGAGATGGCATCCTCGATGCCTAGATACACATATACACATCACAAGTGAGAATCACGGGCGGGACTCACAGGCGGAATACAACCACCGTCCCTGCTTACTACCATCCTCATTTATCTCAAATAGGCTTATCATGTCAGATCGCGTAGTCGTCTAGCACTACCCCTGCTAGACTTGGGTTATAAACTTAAAATCATTTTTTCAAAATTTAATCGAAACAGTTCACAGATTTTCACATGTTCAAACATATTAAAATAGAAATCAATAGTGTAGAAAATTTTCTAACAAATTAGAAAAATACCATATACGTCTCTTGTAAACATTTGTATCAAAGTTAACTTACAATTTCGACATATCTGAATTTATAAAACAATTCATGTAAAACTCAACATTTGACAGATACGAAAACAGTAAATCATATAAATATACACTACTATTCACTGTACTGATGAATCACAAACTTCGACTGTCATCGATATAGCTTACCAAGAGTCGAGCAATCAATCTAGAATAATCAAAATTCTTATTTCAGAATATCATCCATCTCATAATTAACTTAAATTCAAATTTCCATTAAAACCGTACTATTCTCTTAGGTTTTCTGTTCAAACTCTATCGGGAATTCTAAAAGTCCCGAACCGATCATATAATTCACATCCTAAGTATTAATTTCTTGAACTGGGTTCATAAAATAAATAACTTATCTAATTATCCATCAAACCAATCATTAAAGTACTTAACCGGACTTGAACCGGTCACTAAAAGGTCGAACCGGTGGTTTTTTTTTCTAATTTTTCTTAATTTATTTAACATTGGACCGGCCGGTTCACCTTTGAACTGGCCGATTTTCACTTGAACCGGCCACAAACCAAGTAGACAATTTAATTTCCTTCGTTTTGATACCTTGAACCGGCCAAGAATTGATCTAAAAAACCCATGAACCGGCCATTTTTTCTAATTCCTAGAAATTTTCTATTATTTTATTATTTCTAATATATGAATTCGAATCTCAGATCCGGATCTTGCTCTAACTTGAAACTTATAACCAAAGATAAATTTTCTGGCCTGGCCCAAATTGGCCATAGCCCAACCTGCACATAAAAATATAACCCAATAGTCCAAGCCCCAATTCGGATGGGCTAGCCCACAACCCAGGAAACTAATTCCAAACCCAACTCTTTATGCTAACCTGAGCCCGTCTGACTTGGCCTAACCCAAACCCAAATCGAGTTGTTTTTTCCTAACTCAGTTGGCTGCAATAAAACTGAAAATAGACATCAAGACTTACCTCAAGCGTGTTAGCAACTCCTTCCAAATTGGTTTTGGTCAGTGATTCAGACAATTCATACGAAGGTCACACTTGACTTAATCAACCTAATATCAAAAAAACTGGAAGATATTAGCTCAGGAAGGTTGTTAATGGCGGATGGGGCACCAGGAAGAACTTGATTGAAATTCTAGAAATCCGTGAGTGGATTGGAAATATTCTTTGGAGGTTTTTATAGATCCTTCTTCATCGCTTGCAACTTTAAGGATTAAAAATGTTCAAAATTAAACGGATTTTAATGATCCTTAATCTCGAAATTGATCGTTTTAACAGTTTCTTTTTTATTTTTTTATTTTTGGGATTTTACAAGTATAAAGTTAATAATATTTACAAATTTTGTTAAAAAATAATACAAGTTTATTATAGGTATTTTATGAAAATAGTTATAGTAATTACTTATTATCTTAAATGTTTAAATTGACCATTATTTTAATAAGTGATATATGTAGTAGTAAAATAAATTTTATTTGGTTTATATCTAATTTTAATATTATTAAGATAAAAAATAAAAATAAAAAATATTAATAACTAATAATTATATAATGTCATTTGTATAAGTAATTAATAATTTTTAAAACTTAATTCTTAACATTCTCTTTTCTAATATAATTTTATCTCTAATTTAAAAAATATAATTTTTTTTCTTAAACTCAAATTTAAGTTTTGATTTAATCAATAAAAATAATTTGTAAATAATAAAAATAATCAATTTTTGTTTAATTTACACAAGAGTAGAATAGGATTATAATAAAAAATATTAAGATATATTTGTCTAATAAAAATTTTAATTAGTTATAATTATATTATTAGTTACAAGAAGTAAGAGTTTATATTTTTCTATTCCTAGATATCTTTATTTGAAATTTAAAGAAAATTAGATCCAAAAACAACAATATAAATAAAAAAATTGTTAAAAAAATACTGAAAATTACCAACAGAAACAGAGACTATATGTCAAATTAGTTTTCGCTTTACCCTCTAATTTTTATTTTTAAATGGTAATTTACATCAGGGGGTGATTGACATAATAATTTAAAACTCTAGGGTCTAAAAGCATCGACTGAATAAAGTCAGGGGTTAAAGAGTAATTTGTGCAGAAATAAAATGAAAAGCAGGAAACAGAAGTAGAAATCCAAAACCAGTAAAAAAATTTTTCGAATCTGCTTCCTCAGTGCACGGGTAATGAAGCTGAGTGGCTCAGCTGACTAGAAAAGAGGAAGCGAGGCGAAGAGCAAACCTCTTTCATGGCAACGGTTCAGCTCTTTCCCCCTCATTCTTTCATCCCAAATCGGCTCCTCTGCAGGTTCTCTCTCTCTCTCTCTATGCGTATGTCACTAGTTTGTATATATAGAGGGGATATTTTCAGTAGTTTTTGGTGTTTTGCGATTTCAGAAGCCTGGCGAGAATTACTTGTGGCCAGAAGAGATGTAGAGTTGTTAAGAAAACAGTTGTATGTTATTCAAACCCCAACTTGCAAAATGGGCAAATTTCCAGAAGGGATTTGTGGCTTTTTGGTCTTTCTTCTTCAGTCGCTTTGTTATCATCATCTTCAGGTAAAACCCAGTTATACCCAGATCATCTCGTATTGGAATTTTCGAATCTTCGTTGTTCTTTGCAGATATTGCTCGTTGATGTCAATATTAATTTGTGTTGCTGACACAAAGTTAATTTTTTTTTTCCCTGTATGGTTCTAACTATTGCCTAACTTCTATACCATACCTTTTTTCTTTCATATTGAAGTTTGTTAAAACTTCTTGGTGCAATAATGTCGAGGTTCACTTATTTTCTGTCTTTATTTTATCTGTAAATTGTAACATTTATCCACGATAAATTCTTTCTTTGGAGGGGTAGGTGGGGGTTTCTGGGTTGGGTGACATAAATCTTGTAATTTTGGTATGTTCTCTCACTAAAGTTGCACAACTGTTGCAGGATTCAGTATGGCGGAAGAAGGGAGTATGGCTTCACTTACTGATGATATAAATGCTTATTCTTACTTCTATCCCACAGAATTGCCATCAAAAAAGCTTGTCTTCAAGTGGTACGTATTTATATGCATCAAAGAAGATATTTCTTAGTTCTGATTGCTGTGAGAGTTAAACAGCAAAATTTAACTTATAGAGCAGTCACAACTTTGCACTTGCAGGATAAAGATGCAAACAAACTCAAAGATTTTGTTTAAAATTTTGACAAGTTTTGCCTTACTATCAATTTTCTAGGAGTATAAATTGGCAGTTTGAAGTGGACTCAGCTATGTATATGGAGCTAACTAAAATATGACTCAAGCTATATTTCCTTGCACCTGAAGTGGAACTAGCAAAACAAGTAACATGTATTCAGATGGATGTAAAATTAGACTTCAACTATGCCTTTACCTAGCTACATAGTGTTGGCTGCATGGATCCATGGCTTTGCTCTGTTGTCCAGAGTTACAACTTCAGTTAAATCACAATATACCTCTCACTAATTTGTTCTTCATTATTCTATCATCACTGATCTCAACATTCTTAACATCCTTTTTTAGCTATTGACTTGTTTCTTTATATTTCGTTGCCCTCTGCCATACGAGGAAGCTGGTCTACAGCCATCTTGTTAGGGTTTGTGCTGATCACATATTATTCTAGAAGCATTTCCCTACTTAGCCATCCTACTTTAACTTTCATCCAACGAATAACGTCTAAACCAATCTCTCCCTCTATAAGTACATGATAGAACAGGAACCAAAATTGCTCAGTCTTGGGGGTACTTCTATCATTCGATTTGTATCTTGGTTTTTCATAAGGTTGCTTTCCCTATATTCTGTTATAGTTCTACTTCTTAAATCCCCTTGATTTTGAGTTTCTTTCTGAATACTAATCTAATAGGTGCTCCTACTTTTGTTTTATCAATTAGCTATTATGTACTAATAGATTTCATCCCATAGATTTTTAGTGACCTCAAAATATATAAGATAAGGGTCTAATGCAAATAGTTTAAGCAAAACTATAATCACTGGAGACTTATTTGTTTATGTCATACATGGTTGTAATTTCGAAATACCAATTTGTGTCAAACTATCCTAGATTATATAAAAATTTCCATCTCTAAGGAAGATTTCATTGTGAGCAGTAAAGAATTTTCTTTTGGGTTATAGTGAATATTATGAGCATAACTTATTATGATGTTTATGAATTTGTTTATCATGGCAGTATTTAGATTGTGTCATGTTTTGGGTAGTTTTGGAAGCAAATTGGCAAATTACTTACGAGTCTCCAATCTAGTGGTGATGTCCTTAATTTCTTTGATCTAAAGTAGGGAAATTTAACTTCTCATTTTTAGGCTGGAATACCATTTCAAGTGAGTATATGGATCAAGTGGCAACATATTTTTACTTTGCTTTCACAAATATTTGTGAAATATAATACATAATGAAGGCAGGGACAGATTGTTGCACTTTATAGAAATATATAATTATGCTGTTATGCCATTAGCTTATGATTGAAAGTCTATGCTAACATTGATAACAAAACCTGCTTGAAGATGCCCCAAGTCATTTGTTTTGTTCAGCATGTGTTTGAAGTTTTCTCATAGCATTGCTTTTTCGAAGTTACTATTGCTAATGTTAAAAAATTTAACTCAGGCTTCTAATTGCTGCCCCCTAAGTTAAAATCTAACAGAGAAGTTACTATTAAAGTAAGAAGAATCAGAATATGTTGTTATGTACTTGTTTTTAGGTTACCTAGAATTCATGGAGATAAAGGTTTATAAAACTAGGGGAAAAGTGAATTAGGTGACAAAATCAAGCAAGCACTCTACCAGACTGTATTATTTTTAGAAAATATTAACTATTCCTAAAAACACTTTACATACAATCTTTTATGGTGCGGTCCATGGGATCAGTCAATAGTTACTTTAATTTTGTGCTTCCACAACTCAAAAGTTGTAGACATAAATAATATGTAACATATTATATTGTGGGTTTAACAATTGCTTCTTAGGATCTACTTCATATAAATATGAATATATGTCCTCTTATGCATATCTTTCATCCTTAACTTGGTGGAAACCTGAATCCTGTTATCTCTTGAAGGGTGGAGTCCAGAAAGCCAGAGCGATATTCATCTGCTGCACCACTTTCTCGTAAGTTAGTGATTTCTTTTCTTTCTGGAAAGAAAAGACTGAATTTCATGGATAATTTGGAACCATGCTTAACTGTTTTTATTGTGCCCCCTAGTAAGTTTTGGTGAGGACTGTGTAACTTACAAAAATACCAACAAGGAGGCTTTTTGTGTCAGTTTTTAGAATGCTTGGATTATTTTGTATGATTCTTACGGAGAACTTACTAGATATTGCTCCCAACATGATACAGCTGACGCACGTCTACGAATTGTGTCTGAGCGAGTGGATATTATTGATAATCTCGTTATTTCTGTTTCGGTAATTCTGATAAGATCATGAACTTATTAATTGCAACCTCATGGGTTTGTTTTAGGTTTATTGACTTTCAATCCTTGGTTCAGATAGGTCCCCCCAATACAGTATTCTTGAAATCAAAGGACAAGAGTACATGGACTGCGAAGGATGTTGCTGATTCTGTTTTGTCAGACAAGTCTGCTTTGGTAATTTAATTGCCTTACTCAAAGTTTGCCCCTACTTTTTTCACTTTTACCATTTTATGGTTATTATAAGTTATTTCAAATATAGATGATAATGTAGCGATCATCTTTTAGCTATTTGCTAAATCTGCAATTTTTTTCATCAATGGTTGACATACAAATTGTCACCTGTATGGGTTGTTTCAGACATTTAAGGACTTGTCTGTCAAGCAGAGTCTTAATTGGGGCTACTTAGTTGTTTTTCCTCCACATGCTGACCCCAAAATCTCCTTGGTTCTTCCTGTTGCAACTGAAATCTATTACTTTTGGACAGCGAATCACCTCAAGTCAACGGATGGCTGAGAGTTCAGTTCTTGATGCACATTCTTCTGAAGTGAGTTATCCTGAATTTCTTTTACTGTTGGTTACTCAAATTTGAGCCTAAGGATATTCACCATGACTCATAAATTTATTATCATATTTATATCTGCATATTGTGTCTATAGATGCATATGAGGATCTTATTATTTCTTCCTTAGATTGATGGTGAGCCATATTGGTATTACGAATACCTTGTTCGGAAATCACCTACAAAATCTGTAAGTTTCCTTTCATTTATTTAGGATCACTACATGAACACACATAAAGGCTGAAGTCATTTCATGATGTTATATGTGGATTGCAGGCTCAAGAACCAAACATCTATCGGCACTATGTTTCTTCAACTGCTGAACGAGATGGTATAAGCTGTTTTGCGGCTCAACTACCTCTTGTTGCAAGCATCTACTTGTCTAAATATATCTCTTCCAGTAACATGATTCTCAACATTAGTTTTGTGTTTTGTAATATTTAATATTAATTATAAGAGTAAGATGAAAATAATTCCTTAATAAATGTGGAACTGGGTTACTTTATACATTGAAAAAAAATAAAAAAGAAAAAACTTGAAGGCATAATGGTATTTTTTCTTCTACTCATGATTGTTGCTCTTGTTGCGTCTTTTTATTTTTGTATTTGAAGAACTGTCATCTGAAAGCCTTCATTGCAGGTTATTTATACTCGTTGACTGCCTCAACTCTTAGCAAGCAGTGGAATGTTGTGAGTATATCATTTTGTTGCTTTAGTTTATCTATGTATAATACCTAAGCCTGAAATCACATATGAAAACAGATGCATGCTTTACTTACATTCTGAATTCTTTAATACCACTTCCTCTATTCTTGTAGGATTGATTCTACTTTAACAGTCTTAATTAAATGCCTTTTTGTGTGTGTGTGTGTGTGTGTGTGTGTGTGTGGTGAGTGGTGAGTGAAGGAGTAGCATGATGTCTTGATGAGGCTAGGGGTGGTGCACTTGGTGTCTGAGGAAGCTAACACATGTTTTCTCAAGCCAACACATGATTCCAATTAATATTTTTAGGGATGAAGCCATTGGTGGTCCTGGACTTTGGTCTGAACTTCAATTGGTCCCTGAACTTTTAAAATAGTTCAACCAATTCATTGAATTTTGTTAGATTTGTTTACTTCAGGATTTTCAATAATGATGTTAACAGAAGATGCTGGTGTAGCATTTTTTAACATTTAACCCAAACCAGAGGCATGCCTCTCCATACCATTTTGACCGTCTATGTGGCTAGACTAACCCAAAGTTTCTAGAAGCCTACAGACTTGGAAACTAATTTTTAGTTCAACAATCTAATCTCAATATATTATCAGATGCTTTTAGAGCCTGTCAACACTTGTTTATCTCCTCATGCACTAGGAATGTGTGAAGTAGATTAATTCTATAATCACCCAAGAATCACTAGCTCTAGCAACTAATTGAGTTTGAATTATTGGTCTAAAATGATTTAGCTCAAATTGTCTATTAAGCCTTAACATGGTTTCACATTCACATATCAATGTGGGACGAAATGTCATAATCTCCCACACTCAAACTTTTGACGTTCTTGCCAAGGTGTGCTAGAACAATTGCTATGATATTTTTTGTAACTGCCTAAGAATCACTGGACTAATAATTAGTTGAGCTTAAAGCATTAGCCTGAAATGTGAAAACTCAAGTTGTTTAATAGTGGTCTTGTGAGATGTCCTTTAACTACGAAAGCCCAAAAGTAGATGGGTTCATTTGGTTTCTTGACAGGAATGGAGCTTTTGATAACAATAATAACAACAACAGCAGCAGCTATGTATTCAGGGCTTTTGTTGAAGCCTAATTCAGGGTTGTGGTTACAGAGCAGCAAAGTACCTCTTTCAATAGAGAAACACACAGACCAAATATCTACTTCCACAGACCTTTCTTCAAAAAGGAAAAAAGCCTATCACGGAAAAGCCTTGAGACTGAACAACCAACTCCTCAGACTGCATATTTCATTTCGGGCAAATAGTGAATTCTAAACCTTAACAATATCTCCCATCAAATAGCCGCCATCTTTGCAGCTGAATCTATTGATTAATTTTGGAAAAAAAGAAAGGTGAATATCCTGCTGCCTGATGTGGGGTTATGATTGCCAAGAGGATGCTTAGATGTTTAATGAACATAACATCATTCAGTTTAATAGCATGTCATCAAAAGGGCATGGGGAAGATGTTCGAGCAAGCTAAATTGTTTGGCACATTACATTTCTTTTAGTCTTCTAACTATAATTCAAATGAAGTGAATGAAAATTTATTTTGTAATTCTGCTGCTTCTACTTGATGCAGATGGGGCCCATATTGAGAAAAACTGCCGGATCTTTTCGCCTTCTCCCTCCCACAGAAAGCTATGTTCCTCCATACAAGGATCCCTGGAGATTTTGGTGACAATTCTTTTTTTCCTATTATTTTCGTTGTTTGCAATTTATGAAAGACTGCAAAGACGTCATTTAATTTTGCAAGCGGAAACAGGGATTCTTTCTGATTTCTGCTTTACTGGTCGTGGGCTATTAATCATAGCAAATTCTTCATCTGAGGCAACAATCATATGAATTCTTTGACACAAAGTGCATTTATATATACTTGAAACAGATCTTCCATAGCTTTCAAGTCTGAAATCATCACGGGGATTGAAATTGGCTAGAATCTTCAAGAAAGGATCCTAAAATAAGTCGTTGAATAATAAGAAAGAACATTCAATGGAATCTACTTCTCATGGTACTAGTTCTGTTATAAACAATATATGTTAGTTTTTTCCCCCTCCGTTTCCTTTCTTTATACTTTCCTTTTTCCTTTTAATGTTTGGAGGAAAGAAAGGAGATAGTTGAAAATGACTCCAACCATAAAATCACTAGTGCAGCTTAGAACCAGTAGTCTTGAAATGATAAGCTAAGGCAGGAACTGAAAGCTGCTTTATGCCTATGATATCTTGGCTGGTAATGTTCTCTTTGAATTTGTATTTTCTTCTCTCTTTCCGTTTTTCATTGAGTTTTTTTAATAGAAAACATTGAAAATGTTTACAACTCTACGCTGTTTTCTTTTTTGAGTGAAAATATTTTATGGAAGTTTTGAAAACAACTTTTGTTTTATAAAAGGAGCATTTTTTTATCAAATTCTCCTGGTAATAGTTTTAGATGAACTTGTCAAACAGCGTTTCCCATTTGTTTTTGACGATAAAAATACATATAAACAAAAAAAGAAATGAATCCAAACAAAAAGTTTGAATAGAGTTCCGCCCTCTAATTACGCAGGAAGACCGTTAGTTGTCAAAACCCAAGAATCTCATGTCTTGGTTTCTGACAAGGATGAAGTTTGAAGTAGGAAATATTTTTCCTCTAAAGAAAGAAGATATAAAACTAAGGAAGCACAATCATTTATCCATATCCAATCTTCTGCTGTGGTGCTGGCCCTTTTGACTCCCATATCTTGTGGACCGGAAACATGAGAGATGATATGTTGCTGCCTTTCGGCATTTCCTTTGTAATATAAAAACATTAAGCTTTTGCAACCAACCAAAAAAAAAAAAAAAAAAAATTAAAGCTTTACGCGATGGTTTCCCTTGTCACGACTCTGAAAAAGCAGAGCAGCCAAGCATTAAGGTAACTAGCACTTGCATCTTAAACAAAAAATTAATAGATATAGTATGTTGAGTGAAATAATCAACAAAGGAAAGAATGCAAGCAAGAAAAATTGCAGGTGTTTGCCGGCCTGAACTTAAAACTTGAAGAGATATATGGCATTGCTTCAAAAAGCTACTTCAAAATCAAATTGCATTTTATTCTTTTTATTTTTTTTCCCGTTTCTGCCTCTTTCGGAAAAAAGAGAAGAAACTCAAAAAGTAATAGGAAAGGTGCCGGGAAGCTCTTAAAAGAAAAGGAAAAAGAAAAAAAAAGGAAAAAAGAAAGAGGGCAAAGGTTCCAACCGCTTATAAAACAGCCAGGATAAAAACCAATTTCAGGTTTATTTCCAAGCCACAGACAACAAATGGAGAACAACAAAAGAAGAAGAAATAACTACACGCTGCTATAAGTTGTGAAACAAAAATTAATATATAATAGCAACAGAAAGATGGCAGAGAGACTGTACTGCTATCAAAACAAAGCAAGCCATCAGGCAGGTTCCAATACATCGAAAAGGATTTTCAAGAGAGCATAACCATCTGAAAAGCAGTGTCATTTTTAAAATAACAATAACATCTTCAAGCGCAAAAGGTACAACTTTTTTTTCTTTTTCATAGTGACCATCACGGCTAGACCTCTACAATCCAATGTCACAAAATTGGCACCACAGCTGAACTTTTATTCCAGATCAGAGATGAACAATCAGATCTTTGCTCGTATAACACATCCAGCAGAAGGGTGCTTACCGTACTGGTTGTTGATTATAGTGATTTTTCTCTTTCTTTTTAGCAGCAGCAAGTCTTGCACTTCTAGCAGCAGCTTCAACTGCAGCTGCTCTAGCAGCTCCATCCAACTCCTTATTTCCCTTCTTCTTCTTTGCAGAAGCAATCTTCTTTAGCCGCTCTTTCATATCTACAGCCGATGCATCTTCACCCTCTTCAGTCCCAGCACCTTCCTCAGGTGCCTTGGTGACATCTGAGCTGTTAGGCTCACCTTGTGGTTCCTTCACCTCTTTGGAAGATTTATCCTTCTTTTTCTTTTTCTTTGCACTCTTAGACTCCACATAGACATTTTTGCTGTCTCCAACTCCATTTGCCTCCCCCTCCTTCTTCTCTTTTGATACATCTGCAAATCCAAGCAAGCATATCTTCCATTTTTTATATGCATTCACCATAACCAGATAAATGTATTTTAATTGACATTTCTGTAACTCATTTGTTTAGCAAGTACAAACATTCCATTGCCATTGAGAACTTACATAACAGAGAATCACTTCAAACAATTAGATTCTATTTAACCTTCCTTTAGTTGAACTGCTAGCATTATATCACATACACACTAGAATGCTACAAGAGAAATACATGAGAGGCCCTTGTATAGGGAAAGGCCACACATTTAGCGCTTTCTATATCCTGCAGTGGTGTGAGTCTTCCACACTAGGCTGGCCATGGTTTCATCTTCTAGTAACAATATTCAGAAAGCCATTCCCAGAGAACAATTATAGATGTTAAAAGGTCAAAATCAAAGAAATGGTGATATCTCAAGCCATAAACTTAGAACATAATATTGGGGTTGAAAGCTTATAAAATGTATTTTAGGAGTGTGTGCATGTGTGTAGGCACATCTAGATACAGGGGGACTTCAATTTTAATTGTTCAATTGACCATCCAAATAAAAATGCAGTGTCCTATCAAGACAACATGAAAAATGGAATAAAAAGGGTACAGTGCACAAGACTCCCAGCACTGCCAGACATAACAAGAAAAGAAGCAATCTTCAAAAAATAAGAAAAATTCATTAAGACTGCGGAAGAGATCCTCCTAATTGTATGACCATGATGACAAGAATGAATACACAACCAAAAGTAGAATTTCCATGCAGGTTTAAAACAATAACTGATAAATAAAATTACCAGATTGCACATCTTGGGCATTTTCCATTTGTGTTGAGACTCCAAAATCAGCCAACAGGGCATCAAGTTCTGCAAGTTCTTTTTTCTTTCTCTCTTTCTTAGAAAGCTGTCTTTCTGTCTCTCTAGGTGTTGAAGAAACTTCAGGAACTTTCTTCACAAGAGGCTCAGGTTGTACAGTTACTTCTGGTTCTTGATCATGCTCATCCTCTACCTCCTCCTCGCCTTCATCAAGCAGGTCTTCTTCACTTTCACTTTCCTGCATTTCAACATAACAATTATGAGGGACATAACTAAGCTTTCCATTTTTATTAGCCACATGTCATAACAATAATAGCACTTGGCCACATATCAGTCTTAAATATAACAATAGCAATCCCTGTCACATAACCCCGAAAAAAAATTCCAGTGCCAAGAAAAAAAAGCCAAAGGTTCAAGGCATAAATATAACAAGATCTCACCTCCAAACCACTTTGCCCTGGATTAAAAGGCAGAAATCTTACACAAGAAAAAACCATACAGCGAATGTAAAGAGTGACACTCAAAATAGTTTATTATCAAGTGTCCAGCAGTATTTTATTTTTTAATCTAGGAAAAGTAGAAAGTAATGATCCAATATAAGAAGAGAAATATTTCGACATTGGTGATCACAAATTAACAATGTCTAGACATCCTAGAGAAGATGACCCCTGACAAGTAATCAATCAAAATATATGCTAGCAGACTAGTTAAGGTACTCAAATATTTGACAAAATTGACACTTTATTTTACTTACTCTTTAAAATATATCAATTGCTAATAGAATCTCTACACTAATGGAGTTCTTCAAATATTTAAAATATGGACAGACCGCCAATAGAATTTTTTTCTTTTGATTTATATAAAGCAGTCTTGAAATGATTATTAACAGTGACTTTTCTATATCTAAAGCATTTGATATGTGTTTTTTTCAGCTTTTGAAATCATTAATCATCCATATCTTCTCATTCTCCGCCGCCCCCCCCCCCCCCACCCCCCCGGGCTTCAGCATCCATCTTTCTTTGAGATTGCAGCCCAGGTTACAATGCACAAATTACAGGAATTGCACATTATGGTACACTAGTATAGGGGTTATCACATACTGACAATTTTGACTATCCCTGCATCTCTAAAAGATTCCTGCAGGAATCCCACTCACTAACCCTTAGATTAGCCCATTGAAACCTCATATTTCCAAACCCTTCACCTCCAATTTCTACTCATATATTTTGAGATATCCTACAATGGCAAGAGGCTACAATATAAAAAGAAATACCTTGTATTTGGTCCAACTAGAAAAAGCAAAAGTGAAGATCATGCTTTAGAATATAATCAGAGATTAAATTTTCATGGTCGTAAAACAATCGTACAAATCATCAGTTCTTCTGTCAAAATCATCATATCATAAGTCTGAATGGAAAAAAAAAATGATATATCAACAGCTCCTCCACTATGAGACATTAAAAAGTTATTCAACATAAAAGTTCCCCAGACCACCATTGTTTAACTTGCTGGAAGACCTAGCATCAGGCCACCAACTTGCTGAAGGTTTACTAGGTTAATTTACAGAGCAAACTGTCATTTTTTGTAGCTTTACATATGATGCTAATGCTCAGCATAAAATTCTATTCCACGCACTTGATTCTACATGATTCATTGCTTAATCTAAAAAACCACAAAATCAAATATCTCAATCCTAGTTTCATCATCAGCAGTAGAGAGTGTTACCATATATCTATCTTCCTTGGGCATTAATGATTCTTTCAATAGAAAAGCAACATTAATATTAGCATCGTTTAAATAATTGTATTGAAGAATAAGATTTCAATTCCTTTATGAACTTCCCTACTAAAGGAATTGTGACAACTTGCATCCCCATCATGAGCAGTCATCATACTCCTCAATCAGATGCAAGCAGTTTTTCTTAACACGGACTCTCACTCTTACAACGCCTAAAAAAATAGCACATAAATTTTCCACTTGAGCATGCATAATAACAAGTAATAAGAACTGTATATGGAAATTTTATCTCATGCAACTAAATTGGGAGGAAACGGGAAAAAAGGAAACGCTCACCATCCCAGAACTAACACTGCGAAGTCCAAACCACTAAGTACACCTCAACCTACCACATGCACAGCATATTCTTTTAATTGGACTACCGCAACAATCAGCCTGAAAGCCGGTAAGACATTGATGTAGATCACATTATATTTCTAAACGTTTCACCAGTACCTAATGCGCCAGGAAATATATATTCGTTCACTTCAATAAACTTATAATGTTATACTGCTTCCCAATTCACACACGCAAACAACCGACAAAGGACAAACCATATAGAGTGCTCCTTATATTGCAATGAGAAGTGGCAAAAATTTCATTGCTTGACCAAATTCCTACAACCAACTGATTGAAGAAAGATTGAAAGGCCACACACACCTCTAAAGGAACTTCCTTGGTCTCTTGAGATTGTGACGAGCCCCAGACAGATTGGGGCGGAGCAGTAGTGGCATAATAGTCGTCGTCATCCTCATCGTCAACATCCGCCCATGATTTCACCGTTAGTGGTGTTGGTGCCCAGAAAACCTGCGGTTCCGGCTCTTTCGCTAGAGATTTTGAAGACCCCTTACTCTTGGAAGAAGACCCCCGACTTTTATCAGCCTTCTTCTTCTTCCTAAGAGTCTCAAGCGCAGCAAAAACGTTGTTATTGTTGATCATCATCGACCCTTCATCCCTTCTGCTACCACCACCCGCCATCTCTCTTCCAATCAAACGCGCACAGGAGGTACCAAAATGATAAATCAGAGACGGGGGCCAAATATATTTCAACACCTGCTGCCCTGAGCTAAAATTCTAGAATACCTTTTTAAAACACGCAAATACCTTGCCGACAACAATTTCGAAATTTTGATAACGTGAAAATAACAAAAAGCAAAAAAGAGAAACTTGTATTTAGAAATTTACTTCCAAGACTTCTACGTTTTATACAGATTGACGTCCACGGGTATCAAAGATTTGAAAATAACCCTGTCTCTAGCTTCAGACGAAGACGATTATCCAACTAGGTGAACGAGATAGTCAAATAATCCAATTATGTTCTATTTCACAAACTCAAAGGAGACAAAATTTCATAACGCAATTTATAGGACGATAATAGCTTGATCGATCAAACCGTCGGTAAAATTGATAGAGAGGATTCGAGAATACTACGAAGAGAAGTTAGGGCTCCTGAGCGAGATGGGTAGTCGACTAGGGTTTCTTTAGCCTAGAATAGGACAGCATCCGCACACCGATTTTGCATACAGAGAGAGCGAGAGAACTCGATATGATCTGCAGCGAGAGAAAAGTAGGGTTTCGGATTAGATTTTGGTTTCGGATTAGATTTTGATTTCGGATATGAGATCGTTCTCCTGGTGCCAGGAGCGGAAGAAGATCACAGATGATACGAGGGAGATAAGAGCAGATGAAACGAGGCTTATATAGTTGTGGGAGACTTGGAATATTTTATTTTCTTTCTTTTATTGGTTAAAGATAATCATATTTGACTTTAGACCAACAGGTAATTCAAAAAGAAATACAAGTAATTCCAAGAAGCGGTTTATCCAAATAAAAAAAAATTCTTTAAGAGAAGAAATTTAAAAAAATGGTACATTAGTATCTTTTATTAATAAGTAGGATCTTCTTTGAATCTTTATTTTTAAAGTACAAATAATTAAATTTTAAATTTTTAATAATTACTTTTTAAATTAATGAAAAATTAAAAATTATTTTTAATTTTTTATAAAAAACCCTGAAACAAAATAGAGGACTAAATACCTAGATTTCCATTTAGGTTGAAAATCCCACCATAAATAAATTGTGTTTTTATAAATTTTAGGATTAACTATTTTAGATTAAGTAGAAAATGACATGAAAAATAGTTAAGAATTTTTCGGTATTTTTATTCTTATTCGTATTACGTCGGTTGTTTTTTAGACACATTTTTTCAATAAAATTAATTAAAAATACCAAATTTATTTAGACATCAATTTAATGGATGTTAATTTTTTATTTTAAAACCGCAAAATCTTTATATTTAATTTTCACCCTTTTTGGCTTGTAATATTATATATAACTCGGCCTTTTATTAGGAGGTGACCAATATTTTTGTTAGATTTATTTATTTTATTTATATCAATCATTTTTTTTAATGAATATATGGAACAAATTGATTAGCATATTTTAAAAATAGGAGAAACTTAAAATGCAATATAATTATAGTAATTAAACTCATGGATTATTGAAAACCTTAAAAAAGGCTTGAAGAACAAGACTGAAAACTCTAAAGTTGAAAAATATAAATTTAGGAATTCCACCTCATGGATGAAATATTGGAAAAATTACCAAGCTGGTCCGCTTGGCCAAAATAAATACCATGACGTCCTTCATGCTTTTAATTTTAAAGTAATTGGTATTTTTTTCTAGTTTTTTTTTTGTAATTTCTTATAATATACTTGTAATTTTATAAATTCGTACTCATTATTTTACAAATTTGTACTTTTAATTTTATAGATAGGTGATTGTAATTTACAAACAAAAATATATTTGTAATTTTGTGGATAGATAGTTTTAACTTGTAGATGTAATTTTATGAAAATATGTTTGTAATTTTACAAATTTATATTTATAAATTTACAAAAATATACTTATAATTTTATAAAATTATGCTTATAATTTGGGTATGCAAAGTTTTTATTGTGTGTGAAAAGATATTTTGGAAAATCAAATTACCTTAATTAGACAAAATTTTTATTCCAAACCCTCCAAGTCAATAATTTAATGAAGATGATTGGCTTGGTAATTTTCCCTAAAATATTTCCTTTCAATGCTACCAAAAAAAATATTTTCTTTTGAAGATTAGAAATTAAATTATAAAATTCTAAAATTTCTAGTTGAATGCGGGTTTGTTGAGTTTTGGTGAGGGGATAAGGAAAGCCATGTGATTTAAAATAAATAAATAAATAAATAAAAAACTTGCACAGTATGTTGTCATATGCCAGTGATCTCTACAATATTTCGCAAATGATTGTGCAAGGGTGTAGGCAATAGGTCAGCTATGGCAATTCAAAATGGCTTGATTGAACTCCCAATAATCTTGGCAAATATGAATTCAAAACAAGTGAGAAGAGAAGTATTATTAGACATTGTAAACATGCACCCTATTTTACGAATTTTAATTAATAATTTAATCCTTAAACTAACAATTTAGTCCAATAGCACCTTGGAAGTTAATTTTTTGTCAATTTGACCATTAACCAATATGCAAGTCATGCTTGGATAGAGCCCTTCCCCCCACACCTTTCTAACTCCAACAACGTATTCTATTGCAGTAATGATGGACATTACTTCTATTGGAGGAAGACGATATATAATAGATTCCAAATAGTATTTTAGTATTTCCTGTCATTATACAATATTAAAATAAAATATGGCTAATGACAAGTCAAATCTAAGTACATGAAAAGTAAAGAGATTTCAGTATTGATTGTAAAAGTTGAGTTACAACAATGACATTAAATTTATTGATGTGAATAATGCTTCCTTAAATGTAACCACTTGGTGTTGATATGTATTTCGTGAAAATTTCTCTTTAGTATAACAATTAAATTCGCACATGGGTTTACAAAAAAAGATGAACATATTCTCTTAGCAAGTAGGCCAGGATTATGAAATTGGATTCTATTTCCAAGATATTGAGGAAGAAAATAGTAGTGACAATGTCAAATATGTTGTATTATAGTCAATTCTAAATATCCTAAAGTTGACTAGTTGCCACGATGGTTTACAATGACAACATGATATGAGATTAGTCATGGTGATTAGTTGGACTTAGATTGTCTTATGTTGAATTGCCAGGACCAACGAGGTGGCCAATGGTTTTCAAATACAACGGCATGCTAATAATTAGTAAGTTTAGAGGATAGTGGTGTTGTATTCCCCTTCAGTCTACTTTTACTTGGCAAAGTCGATATGTTTATTGGTTCATGTTCCAACTTTCAGCCTTATTATGTAATTATTTTATATTCATTGTATTAAAGCAGTGTCAAACTAGTCAATTAAAATGACTTAATTTTTATTCCTGCAATAAACCAAATTCATGTAATATAATAAAGTATATTTACTTTTTGACTACCTTTATTTTATGCCCGAGTGTTTCTACATTTAGTTGAAACCCTTAAATTATATTGAGTTACAGAACTAGATCGTTATAGGATAGCAATTGTGAAACGTATCTCTATAACCTTAAATAATTCCGAGTCGTAGGATTTGTTAAGGCAAGGTATTGATCAGGATTCGCATAGACTTGCATGCATGATGCATAAATCCGAAAGAAAAGTATCTCATTTCATAGACAATTAGTATTCTAACACTTGTACACGCAAGTGGATGGTTGGTAAAAACTAAATTCTTAGAAAATTCTTTCCTGGATCTTTTTTTGTCAGTGTTGGAATATTCTATTTTTATGTTAGTGCTATAATTAGTCTTTAGACTTGAAGTTTCATAATGACTATATGGATGGAGACTTCTGTTTTATTTATTACTTGATTACAAGATGATTATAAAGGATTTTACATTGGACATGAGTTATTCATGTATGAAAGCCTGTTAAAACTAAGAAATGATCCATTATCTATTTAGTAGGATAGGAGATCTTCTATGTTGTCTACAATGATTGGGTAGTAAAATCCCTACACAAAGTGAATGACAATTATGAAAAGTGTTTCCTAAATTAATCATTAAAGCAATTACTTACAATGGATAATTAATTATTGAGCTTGTAAGGATATTGACTTAACTTTCAAGTCTTAAGTCTCAATCGGGAGATGAAATCTATATGATTGTATTTGCATTATATGCGTAAATAAAAAGGTTCACTTAATTACCTTCACCTTTCTAAGTATTCATAGTGATGTGGCTAGACATATTATGAATTGTGCGTACTTTTGAATTAAAATTAATTCAAGAGTGGTCAATTAATTAGATTAGTTAATCCAAATAATCTTTTATTCACAAATTAAGCCACAAGAGCTGTAAGTCCACTAATAGTTAATTGGTAAACCTAAATGATTGCATATAATACTTGATAAGCCTATATCTGTCCATGAATATTATATGAAAGTTGAATGAGGAAATTAATTAATTAGATTAATTATTTTAAAGGATTTAATCAATTTAAAGAGCTAAATTAGTAAATTAGATAAAGAGTTATTCAATTCAATATTATTTATTTTATAAGCGCTAGTTGGAGAAATATTAATTGGTTAGACAACTCGTTGATTAATTAAAAGAGAGTTTTAATTAATCAAGTCCAAAGTGAGAGAATTAATTGGTTGGATCAATTAATTGGGTTTAATGAGTTAATTAATTAACTGAGTTTTAATTAATTATTCTGTTTGAGTTTCAATTAGATTGGACTCAAATGTTAGGTTATGTGATTTCAATTAGAATAGGCCCAAGGCTTAAGAAAGGCCTAGTGAGAAAAGGCACATAAAGAGAGCTTCCTAAATGGTTGAGAAAAACCAGATCAAACTCTAGCCACCTTTGAGTTTCCCATCTCCTCTTTCATCTTTCTAATTATCTCTTGATCATGAAATGAGATAACATTCTCCAACAAAACAATACTTGAATTTTGAGATAGTTTCGATTTGTTAATAGCATAGTGAGCAAACTAGTAAGTGTTAGCTGTGTCTATACTATTGGAGGGAGAATACTTGGAC